ATCTCCCAGACCGCGGACCAAGAGCCAGCATCACTCCCCCTGATCCCCTTCCAAGAGGACGGCTCCGAGGCCGATGGAGAATATGCCGTATACCCCATCGGGTGGCGCCGATTGCAGTTCAGAATGTGAGTAACTTGGAGCACACTTGCACAAAGGAACGATTTCGTATTAACTCTGGTTCAGCGCTACCGCGAACAACGGCAGAAGGAAGGAACTGCAGCAGCACTTTGTGCTCCATCTCAAGGTCGTCGCCACGCTGGCCAACGGCAGCAAGGTCGTGCTTACGGAATCGACAACGGCTCCCATCGTTGTGCGTGGCCGCAGCCCGCGCAACTTCCAAGCCAGGAAAGAGATTCCTCTGCTCGGCTCCAGCGCTGGCTCAAGAGGCCAGGCCTTGGTCGAGACCGGATTGGGTATCGTGGCAGGACCGTTGGCAGTAAAGCCGCAAGAAGCCAAGGCAAGAGGGTTGGATATGCAGATGCCCCGCTCCGCCTTCACCTTCAGCGCCGGAGGGCCCAAGATGCCAGGAGCCCCGATGACAGCCATGAGATCAAAGTAAGCCGGCCCAGCCAACCCCTCCATTCCTTCACCTGGACTTGCCAACTCGATCACTCGATCGACTTGGTGCGTGCCCATCACTTGATGAACGCCGACTCCTGAGAGAAGAACCTCGCTGACTCGCTCCAGCTCCTACCCTAACTGGGGCTCCACGAACCCCGTGTCCATGTCTCAACTGCCACCGTCCGGCTCGGGAGGCTACCCGGCGACCTCCATGGCAGGAGAGCCTTACCACAAGGTCCCTCTCTCGGGCGGAACCAGCTTCAGTGCTGAACCGCAAGACATGCCTCTCCAAACATCAATGCCGTCGGTCCAGCTGTCGTTGGTAGCAAACGAGCAGCAGCAGCCCCCTATCAGGACCCAATATGCGTACGTCCAGAGCACTACCGCCCCGCCTCCCCTCTCCGTTTCGACGACTGCGATGGCGAGCTCGGACAATGCGCTGAACGTCCCAAGATACGTCGACAACCCGAGGCCCACCAAGAGCCCCAGGCACGCGAGTGTCCCTTCCATCCACAGCACCGGCTCTCTTCCCAACGAGTCGTCGCCCGAGTACCGATACGGCTCGTCGTACGGAGCCGTCGGCAGCAACGCCAGCGAGATCCCGCCACCTGCCTACAAGCAGGAGCCTGCCGCCTCCCACCCCGGTCCCGCCCGAGACTACTACCCTCCCGCGAGCTCGTGGACAACAACAGCCGGCGAGCCCGCCTCGACCGTTGCCTACACCAGCGGCGAGGGACGGCCGTACGCCTTCCCCGACCAATACGCCAGCGGAGGTTCAGCGCCGTCAACCAAGCAGGAGGCCGCTGCCCCTCCAGCACCCGGATCATACAGCAGCGCACACCGGGGTTCCTTTGACGGCATGAACCACTACTCCTGGAACACTAATTAGCTGTGCGCATAATTGTTTGGCGGCTGGGTTACGCCATTCGTTCCCCAACTTCGAGAAACAATAATAGGTTCGGGCCGGGCGTGACCAGACTGGCGGAAACAAGTCCTTTGGCCTAGGCTGTTTCCTACCCTGGCACGACGGCCCCTGACTGTGTACCATCATACCCTTCGATTCGAGGCCTAGGAGAGACAGAGAGCGATTGCGGTTCGGATTTGAGTTTGGGATGTTATTTGCTTTGTTTTTTCTTGTGTCGGCGAGAAGTTTCAGTTCTTTGAGGCCATGACGAAGCTAGGGAGTTCCAAACAACCGGGGGTTTCAGTCCATCGTAGGATGCGATGGACGTTGGGCCCCGGCGGGCTTCTCCCCCACACCATCAGCTCGGCATCGGCAACGTTCCTTTTTTATTTTTATGTTTCATGACAGACTGGACCCGAGCATAATTGGGTAGGCGCAGCAACGAGATGGTCGAGATCGGCGTCAAGAGACGGGCATTGTCTGGTGGCTGGGCATTTCGATACCACACGGAGGATAGCATTGACGTCGGATGCTCTGGCCGGACGCTTCTATCACCGGCTCCGGGCCGTGCTGCGACATTGGGAGGGCGGGTTACATTACGATGTGTATGGTATTTTTTTACTTTCCTTTATATTTTTTGGGACGCGTCGAGCGCCGGGTATCGGGGCAAGGAAAGCAATGAAAGGCATTGTGGTCTTCAAACCGGCATCCTCTTTTGATTCCTGGAGTGCGCCGACGATGGCGGTATTTTGTGGTGTTGAAGGGAGAGAGAAAGAAAGTCTTCTAAGCCTGGGATGGCACGACGTCCGGAAAAGAGCCTCATCCCGCTGCGGCGGTTGAGTTCCGCCACCAGAACGCCAGGGATGGCCGAGCGTTCAGCTGATTTGTTCAGCACGGGAGCGACCCAACCTACTGGTAACTTTCGAGACCCGGGCAGGCGGTGAAGACGAGACGGTGTGGGCAGTCCTGTTGGTTTTTGTTTTTTGGTCGGTTGGCAATGGGTGGATTGGCTTGGCTTGGCTTGGCCTTGTCTCGTTTTTGGGTTCCAATGTTGCTCGCACGACGACGGCGACCTACATTGTTGTGCTATGCGTGCGCGCAAACTTTGGTGGAGGGAAATTTGGATGAGGCTGGCTTGTTTTACTTTTCAATTTGTTAGATGGGGGAAGGGAGGAGGAAAGAGAAGGAATAAGAAGTGATCCTCTTTTTAGTGAGACAGAGAGAAGAGAAAAAAATGCCCAGAAAATGCGCAAAGCGATGAGACAGAGACCAAAGCTTTTCTCCCCATCCCATGTTTTCCTGCTGCCGCCCCTCTCAGCCCGCTTCAACTTTTCCCCGCCTGGAGAAACAAGAAGCTCGTATTGGGGATTATCGTGTGTATCGGTGTAGTGCGAGAGAGGGGGGACCGGACCCGGGTACGAGACGGGCAGGCAGGGCTATTTATTATCGACAACCTCAAGTTCTGTTGGTACACAGCACAAACGCCAACCGCGAGCAAAACCCCACGAGGTACTTTCGTCCATTGTGTGCTAGCGTCTGACCCGGTTCTAGCCTCCCTCCCTTTGGCTCCTAAAATTACCTTGCCTGCCTCGCCGGGCGTTCGCAATGTTGGGCGGGTTCCCACTCACACAAACACAGCATAGCACGTTGGTCGCTCACGCGCACCAACGGCGGAGGCGCATCGTCATCTCATCTCACCTCGTCACCTTGCCTTACACACCGTTACGCTCGCGGCACCCACCCCCCTCCCTCCCTCCGCTCTTCCAATAGTCTGGGCAGACTGGCCTGGCGCCGTCTGTTGACGTTGGCGGCGGCGGTGGTGGCGGTGGCCGGCGCGGAGCGGGAGACCCCACGTGCGGTGGGAACCAATGCACCGGAGATCATATATGTCGTTGTTGTATGGTGTGCGTTGCGTTTTCTCTTGCATGGTTTGTCACTGTTTCGTCGTGCTGTTGGTTCGCTCCCCTCCTCTTCCTGTACTCCTCTTGCTCCCATCTCCCGTAGGATTCACTCCATGGATTAGGAAACCCACTCACTTCGCTGTCCCCCCCCGCCGTTTGGAGGAGGGAGAGAGGGAGGGGGACAGCGCAGGCTACGCTCCTGCTGCGGAGGAGGAAGGGACAGCAGGCCGCTTGCGCGTCGTTGGACGTTGCATCGCGGTAAGCCACAGACCTCCAACGGTCCAACGGGGCATAACGAGCGGGATGCCCGTTTCGGCGCTTTTTTGGGCAAGTAGTACGAACTGCTCCTCAGCTGAATGGGCGCGGAATCATTCATCACTGGCGGGGCTCGGAGGAACAAGGAGGGGCGTGTGTCAATGTGTGAGGGCGGCGCATTTCCCGTTGGTTCTGCTTTTTCTTCGTTCTCATTTTACCAAGAGTTCGGTTTGGGAGATTTGCTTCTCTGCTCGGGCCCGAGGGATCGGGTAGGTAGGGGGAGGGTCCGCCCCGAATTTGGTGATGATGACGATCCGTCACCTGTCAAAGGTGCACCAACACACGCAACCCACACCACCAACACTTCCTGTCAAGGGAGATGAGGGGTGGAACAAGGGTGTTCGTGGTCAGAAGGAAGGGGAACCAACGCGACGAGGAACAAGCAAGCCATGCACATCACACACCACGGAACCGGCGCGTTGGGACAGTGGTTCTTCCTTCGGGGAGTTCGTCGTAAATCTCCAAGTAGGAAGGGAAAGCAAGCAAGCAAGCAAGCAAGCAGCCACCCAAACCCCGGCCCGCCCCTCAGCTACTAACATGGCATTGAGGACTGACACCCCTCCCCTGAAGAGCTGAGCTGAACTCGCCGGGGCTGGACGCCAAGGCAGCGGAGCGGAAGGGATGCGGCTGCCATGTGGTTTGGATGTGAGACAGTATATCAGTAAAGAAACGAGGACGGTGGCCACGTTGTTTTCATACATCCCAGGGCTCGGATTTGAGTTGCAGTGCAGCTTGCTTTGACAGGTTGTGGCGGTCGGAGGGGAGGAGGGGCTGCTGTGTTGTGTCTACCTGCGTCCGTAGCGTTTCTTCTATGCGTGGTGGCTTTTACGGCCGTAGGATTCTCGTCGTGTGTCCACATCAACTGCCACTCAACAACCACTACAAGCAATGTTCCACGGGAAACTGAGACGGGCAATCCTGTTGGTGAAGGGAGGGAGAGGTTAAGGTGGGCTAAATACTTTTGATCGGTTTCGCCAGACATGCCTCGGCATCTTGTCACTGCTGGTGGAGAGCTGGCTGCCCGGGTGGTCCCCGCGCTGTGGGCGATAAGATAAGCCAACTCCGTTATTCCCACTTTGAGCGAAGCGAAAAATCTCAATTGGAGACGCCAATTGGGGTGCGACGGTCGGCGGTCCCATTCCGCTGTTCAGCCGCACCTTTCGGTCTGGAAGAAATTCGATAGCTCCTGCTCGGACGCCGTTCTAGGGGTGACGATCGAAATACCCACAACGCAACGCAAACACGGGACCACCGGCCGGCAATCGTTCTTTTCTGCACGAGACACACACCGAAGGGAAAACCCAAAACACCCAGCAACCATGTTTGAGCTCCCGGACGCAAAGAGGTTTGTCGCCCGGTGCTTCGACTCTTGAACGCGACGCTGACTGTTGTTGGGGTGGTTAGGGTCCGGAGGCAAGACCTGCAGTCTGACTCGGAAGACGAGGCGCCGGTCCGCGACGACGAGCAGGATGCGGAGCTGCTGGCGAAGCTGCACGCTCGCATGGCGGGCATGATCGACCTGGGCAGCCTCGAACAACCTGCGCCGACGCCGAAGAAGAACGCCGCCGAAAAGACGACGGAAGAAGAGGACGCCGCGATGGGAGACGCCGTAGCAGACGAACCGGCCGAGCCCGAGGAGTTCGAGTTCCGCCTGTTCTCCACCGCGCCGGCGACCAAGATCGCGCTGGTCGACGAGGACGAGCGCGCGATGGAGGGCGACGGCGACATGGTCCGCAAGAGGCCGCTGTCGTACTACGTCGCGGAAGAGGCGTCGGCGGCGGCGAGGGAGCAGTTCGCGGCCGCGGCGGTGTCGGGGGAGGACGTGCTGGAGCGGGCGAAGCAGAGGTGGTGGGGGATGGAGATGCCGTGGCGCGTGACGACGATCCCCGGCAAGACGAAAAAGGCAGAAAGAGGGGGCGAGGACGAGGAGACGGCGCGGAGGAGGCGGCCGGGGAAAAAGAAGAGGATCGCGCTCAGGATGAAGGAGCGGGAGAAAAAGAAGAAGGCCGAGGAGGCGGCGCAGGCGAAGATGGGCAAGGAGGAGGCGCTCAAGGAGAAGAAGAAGAGGCTGAACAGGGCGAAGAAGTTGAGGAAGCGGGCCAAGGCGAAGGAGGCCAAGGCTGCGGGCGGTGGTGGTGATGAGGCAGATGAATCTGGGGGTTCTTCTGACAGCGGCGATGAGTAGCACAAAGGCGTTCATCGGTCTGGTCCGGTGGTCTTTCAGAAGAGGTGTCTATGATTTATGAGCGAAACATTTGCCGGATTTGAGCGGCATTGGGTCGACCCCCCTGACCGTGTAGTCATCACGTCTCTGGAGCGGTTTGATTGAGCCTGTGACTTGCTCGACTTACCTCGTCCGAGGTTGAACATGATCTTGCTGTGAATCCAGCAAGCCTAGATGCATGCCAAAGATTATGGTGTTCTCGTTGGGAGCGTTGCGCTGGTGCCCATCTGCAATGAGACCGGTAGCAGACCTCAGTTCCAATGACACAAGGAGGGTGGACTGCCCCGTCTGTCTGTAAAGACGAGTACGACTGCGCAAAGTGGGCTTCATCTACAGCGGGGACGATGTGGCTCGTGGTATTAGAAATGGGTTAACCAGGCTTTGCCGATGTGAAAGCAGTCCAGCACTTTTACATGGCCACACGTACCGTATCGCCTAGTTTTGTGATCGTATACCAACTTAGTGGTGCAGTATTCATCGTGCTCTAGTCCTATGCAATAATTCGCTACGGCTTAACATGCCTTCCCTCATAGGAATCAGTTCCAGTCTCTGCGGACCTCTCTGGGGTCTGGTATGTGCAAATACTCCTACCCCGTTCTGTCATGAATCGTCATCGCTGTCTTCCTCATCCATCAACGCCATCTGAACAAAATGCCGTATCCAAGCCTCGTGCTGCGGGTCGAGTTCGCCCTCGCCGATTACTCCTGCAGCGCCGTTTCCGCCTCCTGCAGCAGGCACCCGCTGGGCCTGGTTCTGGTTCGGGTTCCTCTGTTGATTCTGCCGACGACCTCCTCGACCGTCCATGGCACCCCTGTTCCCTCGGCCGCGTCCGCCTCGCGGTTGATGACCTCCCCGGCGGGCCGGTGGTGCTGGTGCTATCGGCGCAGCGGGCGGGATAGGGCCCTGGCCTATGCCGGCGGCAGCTCCTCCTCGCCCTCCTCGGGGCGCTGGGTCGGCCCCGATGCGAAGAACGAGTGGCCCCTCACGCGCAACACCGCCTGCTGGAGGTCGCGGTTCCTGAACAGCGTTGTCCGCCTCATCCTCCGACTCGGTGTCGTCGGGCTCCTCGATCTCGGGAATGATATCAATAACCTCGCCGGGCTGCGGAACAGCTGCCTGCTGCTGCTGCCTGCCGCCGGCGAACCCGACATCCACATCATCGCCGTCTCCGCCTTCGAGCTCCCACAGCCGCATGTAGCACGAGGTGAACTTGCCGTTGGGCTGCTCGTTGAAGTGCGCATAGGGGTTCCGCGGGTCGAGCCAGGCGGAACAGAGGTAGCAAAAATGGGAGGCGCAGCGGAAGCAGATCATGTGGTTGCATCCATGTGTCTTCTGCGCCGGGACGCCGCAGGTTGGGCACGGCGTCGTGTGTAGGTTGATGTAGTCGATTGAGGCCTGCTCCTCGGCCGTCATCTCCTCCTTGTCGCGCTTGGGCGTGCAGCGGAAGAACTCCCCGTGCCACGACTGGAAGCAGCGGCTGCAGAAGGCGAAGCCGCAGTCTTCGCAGATGGCCAAGAGGTCGCCGACGTCAAACGTCTTTTTCGTCTTTTGCTTCCCGTCAGTTCCCTGCCCTTCCTCGTCCGTCTCCTCGTCAGAGCTTTCCACGTCCTCCAGGCCGTCTGGCTTCCTGTGTTTCTTCGACCTCGCAGCTCCGTTGCACCATGATCGAGGGCAGTAGATGGTGTTCTTGTCCGACTCGAGCTCGTTCTTGTACTTGAGCGTCACGTAGCGGGTAACGGTATCTTGTGACAGGCCCATCTGTAGCAGTTCACTCGGGCTGATGGCGGTTTTGACCTTGCGCTTCTTCGCTCTCCCCGAGGCGCCTTGCGTCTCCGCTCGCTCCTTTGCACAGTTCGGGGCAAGACAGCGAACGGTGGCCAAGTCTCCTTCTGTGATGGCATTATCGTAGAACTCCTGTAAGCATTGGGTACAGAAAATGTGCCCGCAGTCGAGCATCTTGTGGCAGACTGAACCCTTCTTGGGATCTGTTCAAACGTTAGCGCCAGCGCGTTGATGGCCTTGGGGAGAAACGAGCGTACCTAAACAAACGCCGCAGTCAAAGGTCTCCTTTGCAAACGCGGCCCGAGTAGCCTCGATGTCGTAGTCCAAAACGGCGATCTTGTGAAGCGGGTCAATCTCCAGCGCTCCGTTCCCGTCCACCATGCCAAACACGTCGTCGGCGGCCTGTTGCACATGATCAATGTACGTGAAGGCGACCATGTCCCTGCCCATTTCCTCCCACAACCGCGGGCCGTCATCCTCCAGTTTCCTGGTGGCCTCCATCGACAGCCATGGTGGCGACGTGCTTATGCTGACACACGGCGGCTTCTCTGAGGGATAGCCCTGTGGCAAAGATATGCGGACAACGACGGACGGCAGGTGGAACAGCTCGTGGGACTCGACGCGGGGCTCGACGCCGGGGATTTGCGCCGCAGCTGGGACGTCGGCGTTCGAGGCGGCCGGGAAGGTGACGGTTACGGGCTTCGCAGGGTGGACGGGGAGCTCGATGGAGAAGGAGTACGGGTTCTGGTCATCGGGCTCGAGTTCGGGGAAGATGGCGTGGAGAGAGCTGAGCTCATCGTCGCGCGGGTCGTCGCTATCGGCGTCCATGACTGCTACCTGTGGGAGACGACGACTATCATACTTTTCCGGTGCGATCGCATGCGAGATTAAGGCGCAGTGTACGCCGGAAATAGTCAGAGTGTGAGACTGCAAACTTGGTCAAAGTTCAGTGCTCTTCACAGTTTCAGCGACGGGCAGCGCGAAGTATATCAGCAACGACGGGAAGCAGTGGCGAAGTCGGACAATGGAGGTGGTATTATTGAGATAGAAGAAATGGTCGCGGAATCCGCGAGAAGAGCGACTGGTTATGACAAGCACATTATACGAGCTTGAGCAGCCGGTGGTGGTCGTGTGGTTTCTGAGGCGTCGGGTCCTCGCGAATGCCTGGTACAAAAACGGCTGGCCGAGTTGCTAATCAAAAAATGATGACTCTTTTGCCGCACTGCATCGCGGGGCAAAGAAAAAAAGAATGGGGGCCACCGGTCTTCAACTCCCTCCCTCCGACCCTCCGACCAGCCGCCGCAATCCTTCTGGAATTCTTTGCCGGGTGACGAAAGGAGGGACGGAGGGGTTCCAGGCCTGGTCAGCCACAAGCCACAAGCGTGGGGCACAAAGCCTCCCGATTGGCCCGAGCTTGGATCTATGCATCCTGACGTATTATGCAAATATTGGAGAAGCAGGGGCAGTGCGGTCCATTGCGAGTGGCAGGTGTCCAGCAGACACAGCACACCCGTGGACAGCACTAGCAGCATGGAGCGCAACAGCCAGCCAGCGCAACAGGCTCCATTAGCACTTTGACATTTCTAGGGCGCTGTGCACCACGATCCGCGACATTTGCTTTAACTTTACCAGCCCCTGGGCCCGACTCGCAAAATTCTACTGCCTCACGCGGACCAGTCCTTTTGTCGAGGCATATGGCAACTTGCTATCGAGCAATAAGAACCCCCAATCCCCCGGAGAAACTCCCGCAGCAGTAAGCTCTCAGTCGTGGCTGGAAGAACAATCGGAGCTGCGAAGCGGACACCATGGACCAAGACACGAGACCACTCGCCTCTCTCTCCCTCACCCACGTCTACTATGTAAGCTTCTCCGCACTTTCGCAGCTGCCAAAGGCTCGACTCTCGCCTTTGGAGAGGAACAACACTGACAGAAGAATCCCACAGGACCCCGAAGATCCCCTCTCCTTCCTCTGCGCATGGCTCGCCCTCCTCCCGCAAGCCCTCTGCATCGTCTACGCGACTCTGATCTGGTCGACCCGCGAGGCCGAGATAGCCCTCATGTTCGCCGGCCAGCTCGGCTGCGAGGCCTTGAACTTTGCCCTCAAACGCCTGATCAAGGAGGAGCGCCCACGCCGCATCCACGGCAAGGGCTACGGCATGCCGAGCTCCCACGCCCAGTTCGTCGCCTACTGGTCCGTGTTCCTTGTCTTGTTCCTCATGGTCAGACACCGCCCCTCGCCCGCGCGGAGGCATCACCGGCCGTATTCCCTGATCGAGCGTGTCGTCGTTAGTGGCGTGGCCCTCGTCATCGCGGCCGCTGTTGCGTGGAGCCGAGTCTATCTCGACTACCACACCGTGAGGCAGGTGTTGGTCGGGTGCCTGGCTGGATCGATCACGGCTGTGGGATGGTTTCTGGTCACGGCCATTGCCAGAGATACGGGACTGCTGAGCTGGGGCTTGCAACTACCAATTGCAAGGGTATTCCGGTTCAGGGACTTGGTGGTTGAAGAAGACCCGTGCCAGGCTGGGTGGGATAAGTGGGAGGAGAGGCGGGTTGAGGCCGAAAAGCGGGCTGCCGAGGCAGAGAAGCAGAAGAAGAGGTGACACATTGGCGAACACCAGACATACATACATGGAATTATACGTTATCTGCAATCGAAGCACATATTTAACGCATCTGAAGCACGTGGAATGCAGCTGTGGCGGAATGAAATGGACACCAATCGTACATGACTCACGTTAATCGTCTTAGGTCAAGATTGTTTGAGCTCTTTAACCATTGCGCTATCGTAGCTGCACTATGAGAGAGGCCTACTTCTTGTGACCATTTTACCTCGCCCGCCAATGTCAAATCCGTCTCGTAGCTAATCGTGCCGTCGTCCTTGTCCTAGAGACAAAGTGTCTTGGAGGACCATCCCGCCCCGAAATCCTACACTCTCCAATGATACCCCGTCATCCCGGATCGTACACAATGCACCAATTTGCATTGTAGAGAGATAGAAACCAAACAATATGTAGACGTATATGTCGCACAGGTATCTCCGCAAAAGAAACGCCATCCAATGAAATATAAAATGTAAGAAGAGAAAGTATTCGCCAACAACTCCGTTCTGTGGCCGAAAGGTCGGATCAATCGCTTTTTACCGCCCATCGTTTAGACATGTCTATTTTATCACTTCC